ATCTGAAGTATATTTTTTTATATTTTTCAATATATTTATTTTGTTTGTACAAAATAAAAAAATAATTTTTAACGATACAATAGTTTTTGTTAGGCTTAACATCGACGAAAATTCAACGCGAAGCGACACGCAACGGAGAAAATTTTCAACATCGGATACGTTAAACTATTTTTTCGTACATAAATCGGTTATCCGAAATATCAGTTATACGAACAACCCCGGTCCCCAATTGATTCGGAAAATCGACGCGCTACTGTATTGTTTTCTTGAGAATACAACAGAGAATAAACTGCCCGAATACTCTTAATGTCACCAGGAACGTCGTGCTAAAATTCCTTTATTTCCCTCCAAGTTTTTATACGCTTAATTTAATAGAAAATCGGCTGAGCATTTGTAAAGTTGTGGCAAATCTTTCTCACCGGAAGTGTTTGAATTTATAACTCTAACCATACGTTTTGCTATTGCAAGCGAAGACAGGTGCACTGGTTTAAGCAATAAATAATCAATAAATAAAAAGCAATAATCGCATTGTCTAAGATACACTTCTCGTTAGCCCTGTTATTCCATTTGGCTCCTATTTTTGATTAAGGGAGCCAGTCCAAATCCTTAACTACGTCGTCAAAATCGAATTTTTCGCATATTTGTGTTGTGTAAGGCTCTGGAAAGGTTCGAACCCTCACTAAAATTCGCGTTAAAATAATTGTTTTAAAGAAAAAATATACAGTAATTAGAAATAGATTTTTATTTGATGAAAACGCGACGCTAACTTTTAAACAATAGAAGAATGTAAGTCCGTCGACCATTTCTGGTTGGAGATCGAATTAAACTTCGATTTTGAACTCTCCCGCGCCCCGAAAGGTTTCGAATTGTCATCAGGTGACGACGAGAGACCAATCGGAAAGGGGAATCTGAGAGAAAACGGATAAAACACCGGAAATTCAAGGACGCGACGGATTCTTATCCCGAAAGTTCCAAGTGACGGATCTGTTGTTGTGTGTATGTCTCGCACCCATCTTCGTCTCCATCTCCCGACCTCGGATCGACATCTTTCCATCAACGGAAGTCGACCGCATCGTCCCGGAGTCATCGAGATGTGATGGAATGGTTCATTCGCGAACAAGGGACACTCCTTCAAAATGGGACTATCTTGGAAAGGAGAGGAAGACCCAGAGGCCGCAGCCGCCGCAGAACTTCCAAGATCGAGGAAATCTTGTAAGCTTCTTTCTTGTTTAATAAACGGTTGTGTTGTTTGTAAACGAAGCATCTATCTCTGACTCAACTGCTTCCACATGTCGTTGATTGTTACCGCTCGACAATCCAAACGGCAAGGGAGACGATGACGATATATATCACATATTATCGTTCATTCAGTTTTTTTAAATTTCTCCCCCATCGGCCCCCACAGTTGTATGGACAATAGATACGGGAAGGTATTCACACATTGTAATAGAGTCTCATTAGTTATATCAATGTAGCGTAGACACGAAATATTCGAATTTCGTCTTATAAATCGTCTTATTTATATCCCGATTATATTCGTTATTCGATACTAAATCTAAATGCATAAATGATTCATAAGGTCGTCCTCGTCTTTAATATAGAAATGTTGCGAAGGAAATCAAAAATGGTCCTTTGCTCTTCAAAAAGTACAAATTATTCCTTGGTATATTATTGCTAAAAACAATAGTTCCTATGGAACTGTGTTTCTGGATTATTTGTACGCGTATCCGTTTCTTCGTAATCAAATAAACGTTCTCGTTTTCTCCATCCGAATAAAAGAAGAATTTTTTTACCATATTCTGCGTTATAAATACTTAAACGTGATACAAGGAAGCTACTGTGGTTTAATGCATTTCCTGCGAGCACAACGTCACATTACCGCGAAAACTTTAAAAACCAAAAAACTAGACTCCTGAAGGGCGGGCGGCCTTTAGACACTTGGCGTTGGCTCTAACGACGGCACCGAACAAAGCCAAACGTTTCCATTGATTCCAATGTAAAAGTGGACGATACGCACACATTAGCAGATGCAGTGCCAGGAATTTTAGGGGTTTCTCCCATTGCCTGATGTAAAAAATCAATAATAGTCTGTGGGGGCAAGATATTTTTTACGAAATTTAAGCTTAATATCTGTTGAGAATTTTAAAAATTTCTGAACTTTCGCCGTTAGATTTTTTATTTCGGCCATTTGCTTTTGATATGTTTAGGAAATTGAGAACACTGAATAGGGAGGAATGGCTGCATCGTATCTTTTGAACCAACCCGAAGACGTAAACTATAAATGATGGAAAAATAAAGAATGCCTGAAAAGTCCGGAAATAATGTTTGCACTTTTTGACTTTTGATGTGCAATTGAATATTGTTCTTCGGTTCCAATCGACACAAACGGTTTTCGCAGTACAACAATAACAGAAGGACGAAAGTATCTAGTGCTGTAACTAGGCAGGTGCAACAGGTGATCCTGCACAGGGCCCACTTGGAAGAGGAGCCCAAAATGCATGTATTTGTTTTATTACTTTCCCAAACCTAATTAATTAAGGGGCATAAATGCAAATTCCTGCACAGGGCACAGGAATGGCTAGTTACGGCACTGATCCACCTAGTTAAAATTGTTCCCTACCAGTGGCTCGTGGATGGAATCAGAAACGGTCTTGGTAGGTGTGCGGTGCGTGCATGCTTGCCAAATCCCGAGGGTGCCGATAGCGGTTAATGTCAAATGTCTCTTTTGTCTCATCACTAGTATATCTCAAAGGACGCAACAGGGTTGTAAATTTTAAACGTTTCTCACCATAGCTGTAAAAATCTAAGTTTGTTAAACTTACAAGTCTTTTGTTTTCTAACTAATTCGTTTTAAGACCAGGTGTCCACTGAAATTTCCAAAATTTACAACTTTCACTTACTTTCATTGAACTGGAAAAATTTCTGTTTTTTATTACATCTAATAGTACGAAGAAATCAGTCCACACTGTACTAGGTTAAGCTTTTGTTTAAGTAAAATTCCGGCTCTTCCAGCAGGGTTTTATTTGTGTCCCCACTTCCCTAATCGCTTAATTATTTAACTACTTCTTAAGTAGAAATAAGTCGAAACCAGTTACTTTGTACTCGAATATTTCTAGTCTCGGGAAAAAAGTGGAAAGACAAATTTTTATGACAACGGATACATAAATTGTAAATTTAACATATCTCGTCCTGCTTGACTAGTTATTTGTGGAGAAAGTTCAATATGCATCTAGAACGACCCTTTGAACAATTAATTAAGGATGTCGTCGAATGTTTCTCTAATGACAGATATTATCTTAAAACTTAACAAAAGCAAATACATCAATTTAAAAACAAAAAAGTTCTAAATTTCAAGATTTATACGATGTCCTCAAGTGAAATAATACAGCAAAATTTTCTGCCATCGTCACGTACTGTACTTTGTTATTTTCACAATACAGTAGAGCAGGGGTGTCCAACCTTTTTGTTTCTCTGGGCCGCATTGGAAGAAGTCAAGGAGTTTTGGGCCTCGAGTATATATTATATATACTTGTGGCCCAATCTACAAGTATATTTAAGGATTAACATGTCTAGATTATAATAACAAGTATTAAAACTTTATCAAGAAAAAGGATATTTTAAAAAATTACTTCTACAGACACTTTCAATTTTTACTTAGAAATAGATAAATTCATTTATAAAAGAGACAAACGAAAATTTATTTGAAAAACACAAATATTTGTTTTATTTGGATCTGTAATTAATAAAAAGCGACGAAACGCCATTTTAGAGTGCGTTTTTATTCAATTAATATAATTATAAATAATACGTAGCCGAAAAAGCAGCCAAAGCGCCAAATGATATTTTTTTACGTCAAACAAAAAAAAGTAGCCACATTTGGCCCAATGTAGCCAAATCTTGCAACGTTGGACGAAATACTAAATAAAGCTGGGATAAGTGCCGGAAAAAGAGACAAAAGACAAAAGAGAAAGAAGTGTAAAAGGTTGTAAAATTACGGGTCCATATTTACTGAACAGAAGATCTATTTAACCTTTCTCACTACTACATCTTTTTTCGTCCTTTCTCATTTTTCCCTCCTTTTCCCAAATTTGGATCTATAATCCTTTGAGTCACAACTCCAGCTTTATTTAGTAATCCTTCCGCTTTCACACATCTCCAAGTNTTATTGGGCCGCATTGGAACTTGCCTTGGGTCGCTGGTTGGACACCCCTGCAGTAGAGTCTTGAAAACTCGGCACTCGATAACCAGGCAGTCCGGATAACTCGGCCACACCCTGGCAGGGCAAAAAAATCCTTAGTTAATTAATTTTCATTATAGACAGCTTTATGCCTCATAAAGTATTTTTCTGAGGTCTGTCTTATCACGTAAATTACTAGACACAGTGTATTCATTAATTTTCATTTTCATGTAGAAAAGGCTCTATGCCTTCATAAAGGGCGTACTTTTCCTTTGTCTAAGCATCAGTTTAATTAATATTCAAGTTGCCGACTATATAGTTATTCGGCGGGTGTGATTCATCAGATTCACGTTACAATATACGCTTTGTTTTATAATTATGTATATGGAATCATTTCTAGAAATGGCCATTAAATAACCATCTCTCCCGATATTACGGTATAAATATCAAGTTGTTGTTGTANGTTATTCGGCGGGTGTGATTCATCAGATTCACGTTACAATATACGCTTTGTTTTATAATTATGTATATGGAATCATTTCTAGAAATGGCCATTAAATAACCATCTCTCCCGATATTACGGTATAAATATCAAGTTGTTGTTGTATTTTCGCCAGGTATTTGCTTTAATTTCTTTTTATATTCCCGTGTAAGGTCTTGTTACCGTGTAAGGTGTTAATGCAAAATGTCTATATTTACACGTTTGTATTTCGTGCAGCCATCAAGTCAGCACCACCACGTGCATTTTTCGAACCGTCTTTATTCTAACCTCTATCCCCACACCCGTGTGACGTGGCTTTTTAATCTTTATTATACACGCGTCAGATTCTGAAATTATAATAAAAAAAGAATCCAAAATTCTTCATTAAATTCCCGTTTTTTTAACGCGTAACAAACGAATTCAACAATTGATGTTGTTGTTGTTGTTGCGTAGTTTTGCTCTTGGACGAAGAGTGCGATTTGGAAAGCGATTCGAAGATGTTTTTTGATGGTAGAGAGTATCGACCCCTGCCCCATCCTCATGGGTAAGAGATTTTTTTACATTTCATTACTATTTATTCGGATAAGAAATTGGTTTTAGCAATTAAAGGCTTTAAAGAAAAACTTCCATCTACAATATATAATTAGGCCTAATTAGATTAATTAAATGTAAAGATTGATACTTTACGATTTTTGTGTCTTCCTGTATTGCTGTATTGCAATAGAGGGCTTTATAAGGCACAGTTCGGGACCTAGTGTTAAGAAGATAATTTAGGGCATTTCAATTTATTGTTTTTTAAACGAGTAATCGGGCCTCTTTTATATCACGGATTAGGTCGTTAATATGACGAAATTTACTAAAATTTTAAACCCAACTTCGTTTCAATATGTTCAATATGTTAATTATAATATTCAATATGTCTTTTTTTAAAATAACAGAAAAAGATTTAGACTAGTCGATTTATAAAAGGCCCTTTCCTTCTGTCGAATAAACTTAAAAGTACGGGGATCTAATGTAGTTTGAGAGTAGAATTAAATAGTTATTTTATTGTGAATTTTCTCTTTGCATATTTAGGGAGGGATTGGATGTGGATGTGCGAAGATTCGTCAGTCCACAAAATTTGGATTATGTTAAGTTTCGAGGCAGAAAGTTGAAGAAAGGCCTCTCGAAGCAGTACGAACCCTCGCCCGGTGCTTTCGAAGGTTTGGACGTTTTTGAAAATAACATCAAGCCTGCTTATAGAAAAGCTGTGATGAAGGTTCGACCAATCTGTCAAACGGCCTGCCAACGTTTTAACAGGTAAATTACATTACTGTTTGTAATAAACGTGTGTATATTATATGTACGAGCTATTTAACGAGAGGTTATTCTGAGAAATACGAGGAATCACCGTTTTAATTTTTCGATAAATAGTAATAAGTTTAATAGTTTCTTGCCCTGATGGGAAATTAAAGAAAATGTTTTCCAAGTGTTACCATTTATAAATATTCATCGTAATTCAATTCCAAAATTATATATTTATTGTATTTCTTTCCTTGTTTAGTTTGAGATTGGTCGAAGATGTGGAAGATGAAGGAGTGAACAATAGAGAGAGCGTGATTCCTCCACGAAGCACCAAAGAGAACGAAGACCCGACAAAGCACGAAGATTGCGTGCAAGATAATCCTGGCCATTACAGGGATAGAAATACATTGAAGAAAGTCGGGTCGTTCTTTAAGAGCATGTGGAAACCCGTTAAGAGGTAAGATTTTGTACGATTTATCCTCTGAAATTGGCAATAAATCGAGTGTGCGCGCTAAGCCCAAGTATCGATTACGCCAAAAATTTTTATAGCATTAAGATTTGAGTTGGAAATGTTTGCGAATCGCATAACTTTTCCGTATTGTTCGGCGTTGTATCGGCCTATTCGTCCGTGTCATTACTGATTGGATGAAAAGTTGAATTCAAAACGTCACCGAACCAATGAATTAGTAGAGAATTTCATAATCCAACTTTCGTTCTTTGTAGGCCAACATTTACAGCCCATCGATACAGAGCCGCAATATGTTTTAATGGAATTCAAATGAAGTTATACGTTTTCCATGAATAATTATACTTCTTTTTCTACATTTAGATCCGTGCAGAAGGTGTGTAAAATGGCCAGAAGTGGAGAATGCGAGTACGTTCGGTTCGAGTAAGGATCTCTTTGCTTCCATCTGTCAAATTCGACAATAAGATCTGCTCTGTGATTTGCTGGATCTGGGCCGAGTTGGCTAATTGTAAGTGTGTATGGCAACTTTATTGTATTCTACACCAAACACTTGGGAGATTTTACGGTCTGGGTTTATAAATTGACACAATATCTAACCGCGATTTCATAATAACCCGCAATTAATGGCCGGACAACAGAAAAAATGGAAATATTTATGTACGGTATTAGCGTGGAAATGTATTATATTTTGATGCGATCGATTTCGATGCGATTACAGAAAAGCCACGTTTTTAGGGTATCGGGCATACATAGCCTGTATATTCCTGTCCAAGTACTCACAATAATACATCCTGGGTATAAGTTGCTGGTCTCTTGACACAGCGAAAGCAATGGTATAAATGAACGTAGAAATTAAATTATCCAGTAATCTTACGTGATTACGCGGACGGGAACATGTTAAAATAATGGAATTGACAATGACATATTTGATACATACATGACACGTGGCAGTATGCAATTAATTGCGGTAAGCAATATCATTTGGCACGTAACTTTATTTCCATTTTAGAAGGAAATAATATTCTTAATTTTGTTTTCATTTAAAAATATTCAAAAAATAACAAAAAGAAATGATAAAGTTTAAAAATTAATAAATAAAATCTAAAAAGCTCCTAAAAATTGCAAAAATAATTTTCAATTTATAAGTAAAAATTAAAATATTGGTTTTTCATTCACTTTTAGATATGGTTTTTTCTGCAAACCATCGATGACTTCTCCTGATTTTGACATCCCGATTGCGTCAATGCCAAGTTCGATTATGACTTCCCAATTTTGACTTTATCCCGGCTGTGTCTCCTTATTATTGTCTTTTAGTCAATTATCATTTACCCGAATTGGTCTACACGAATTTGGACTCTCGATTTATGTCTACTTCACGAATCTGGACTCTCCCGAATTACGTCTACCCCGAATTTGACTCCTCAATTGTGCCTGTACTCGAATTGGACTCTCCCGAATTATGTCAACCCCGGATTTGACTCATGAATGGTGTCTGCACTCGAATATGGACTCTCCCGAATTACGTCTATCTCGAATTTGACTTCAGAATCCTGTCTATATTGGAATTTGGACTCTTCCGGCTTGTGTCTGTGCTCAAATTTGACTCCCAATTTTTGTCATCCCTGGAACTTGGACTCTCCGGAATTGTGTTTTAATTTGTTATTGGAACGACACGCTCCACAAATTGATATTTGTTATTCAGACACTAGTAAAAGGATTAATTGCAAAACAAATTTTTTATACATAAAATGTTTGATAAATTAATTAATTATTAATGTTCATATATATTAATTTATAATTCTAATGTCAATTAGAAATTGTTGTATATTTATATTTGTAAAACATTGGTAGTAATTGTTACGGCCTGCCCATTTCCGAAATCTTTGCAGAAATTAAGGCATTGAAGCAATAGTCGAGAGCCTCGAACAGTAGGTCTCGCACACATTAAAGTATCTGTTTGGATCTATATAAATGTTATTAAAAATCTGTTCAAAAATCCCTCGATAAAGAATGAAACTTATGTGTTTTGTAAAAACGTAATGTTTGCAAAAATAAAACAGTTTCTGCAGATTTAATCTTTTTCTGTTCTTTTGTAAGCAGATGAAAATCTTGCATTGTTTTTAAGAAAGGATAATTTTAGAGAAAAGATGCAAGACAGTTAAAGTGGCAAAGGCACACATGCCACTCCGAGGTTTTTATTTATTTATTTTTTCACTCGGTTTTCTGGGCACTAAGAGGGCCTCTTTATTTACAAAGTTTGTTACGGATTCGGCCAGGCCACGTGAGGCGTTGATCAACGACGACCCATAAATACTTGAAGTTCGGGGGTGTTCCTAATACTGTTATTGTGAACCAGCAGATGAGCCTAGCGTTGCTCGGAAAAAAGTAACGATAGCAAAGATTAAGGTTATTAGATTATAGCCGATATTACCCATTTTCACCGAGTGCAACAATTAGGTTTCGATACTAAGTATAAAATTTTTAGCATCTGCTTACCACACTGAAATAACGATAATTAAAGTTGACAGCAACCACTAATCGGTACGTAGAACCGCTAAGTGATGAATAACAAACGTTTTCGTAACCTCTTTTGGATTCTTTTTCAGTTATAAAAAGAACCCGAAAGGGGCTATGAAAACGTTACGAAAAATATGCTGAATCTTCCCAAATGATATAAACATAAAATCGAACATTAAGACGAAGAGTTCGAATAAAGCCAACTTATGCACATGTGCTCCCCTTGTAAACTTTGTATACGATGGAACGCTAAATATCGTTGAGAATTTTTAGAAGGGTCTAAAAATATGTTCGATTTCTTGCATAAATGCAAAGAAGACATTTCAAATAGAATAGTAGAAACTTTATTCTTCACGGCAAGCCTTAACGGTGGCGAAAAAACAAGAGTAATAAAGACAAAGGAAATCGGAAATTACCACGATACAGGGGATAAAAAGGCAAATAAAATGATAAGTCAGAAGACAAGCAGCCAGAAGTAGCAAATTTCCGGAACTCCTAGCTCTGGAAAAAACACTCGATCCGGAAAAAAAGAAACGCTGTTGGAGACAGCTCGACGAAACGAATCAGAAAATGTATATATATGCAGAAGTAGACAGAAAACTCTTGAAGAAAAACTTTGTGAAACAAATAACAGGTTTTGGATGACTCCCCAATCGATACTTTCTATGCTGTAACTAGCCATTCCTGTGCCCTGTGCAGGAATATGCATTTAGACCCCTTAATTAATTAAATTTGTGAAAGTAATAAAACAAATACATGCATTTTGGGTCCCTCTTCCAAGTAGGCCCTGTGCGGGTGCACCTGTTGCACCTGCCTAGTTACGGCACTGGGTTTAACACAGATTTAATTATCAGAGCTTAAACACAAACACCAGAAGTAAATTTAGCGCTGAAAGCTTCGACGTTTCCTCAACAGGTAACGTTCGAAAATAGGATGCTAAGATGAGCTAAAATTTTACACTTACCTGCAGATTTCCATAATTCTTCAATAGCATCTATTCAGTATGTTTGAGGTGATCATATTACATGTGACTTGCGCCTTATAGAGGGAATCAATGACTTGAGGGAATCAATGACAATGACTTGAGGGAATCAATGACAATGAGTGAGAAAAATTTACATATGGGAACTAATGGAAAGCAACGGGCCAGTTAACTTCTGTACCCAGTTATCCCCGCTCTCCCTTATGGCGCTGTTATAAAGTATTGATTTATGAAACACGAGTTCTTAAATGACAGGATATCAACTGCTACGAAATGTCAGAAAAGTTAGACAAATAAAAGTTCAGGAAAAGGTCATCACATACAAGTATATAAGTTTATATGTGGAATTAAATTAAATTTATGATTTTTTCTTAATTTATAACAGTGATTCATAAGAATTTCTATTTTACTTTAAAACTTTAGTACAGAATTTCTAATTCCGTTAAATAAAATACTTTTTAAAGAAAGTATGCACTTTAGTTTTTTAATTAGTACATTAAACAAAACAAAACAAAACAAGTCCATTAACGAGTTGCTTAACTTTCCCGGCAACATTTAAAATTGCGTGTGTTGTGTCATCTGTTGTGAAATTTTAAATTTTAAAATAATATTATTAATTATTATAAAATGTCATAAAGCTTAATTTTGAGGGTAGGAAGAGGTTNAAGTTCATTAACGAGTTGCTTAACTTTCCCGGCAACATTTAAAATTGCGTGTGTTGTGTCATCTGTTGTGAAATTTTAAATTTTAAAATAATATTATTAATTATTATAAAATGTCATAAAGCTTAATTTTGAGGGTAGGAAGAGGTTTTATAAAAAAAATCGTAAACGCTAATAACGAGTGAAATCGTCACTAAATCCGACCTTACTGGATATACACACGACTCCCTTTGTCTCCCCACCCCTTCGACCTTTAATCGCCAAAATTTAATAGCGTCATTTTCCCTAATAGATAAATCTAACTGCAAAATTTCTGAAATTTTCGACAAAAAGCATAAAAGTTATTAAGCTTCAAACAGGGTGAACAAATCGTGCCCCCACCCACAGATCCTAACATCCATGCATACAGAAGAAACCCCGAAATTTTTCGCATTTCTCGACGTTTCAAGACGCTCTAAAGAAATGAAAAAATCTTGGGGATATGAAAGGTGACCAGAAAGTTGTTTTATCAGTGTTTTACCTTGAATAAATTTTTAAACACGCAAAAACATTGTAAACATTTTAAAAATTACATAATTTCTGCAAATTAATAATTTTAAAATTAAATATTTTAGCTATAAAATCNGGGAAAAAAGTAATGGTAGCAAAGATTAAGGTTATTAGATTATAGCCGATCTTACCCGTTTTCACAGAGTGCAACAATTAGGTTTCGATACTAAGTATAAAATTTTTAGCTATCTGCTTACCACACTGGGATAACGATAATTAAGGTTGACAGCAACCACTAACCGGTGCGTAGAACCGCTAAGTGGCGACTAACAAACGTTTTCGTAACCCCTTTTGGATTCTTTTTCAGTTATAAAAAGAAAGGGGTTACGAAAACGTTACGAAAAATATGCTGGATCTTTCCAAATGATATAAACATAAAATCGAACATTAAGACGAAGAGTTCGAATAAAGCCAAGTTATGTGCATGCGCTCCTCTTGTAAACTTTGTATACGATGGAACGCTAAATATCCTTGAGAATTTTTAGAAGGATCTAAAAATATGTTCGATTTCTTGCATAAATGCAAAAAAGGCATTTCAAATAGAATAGTAGAAGCCTTATTCTTAACTGTAAGCCTTAACGGTGGCGAAAAACCAAGAGTAATAAAGACAAAGGAAATCGGAAATTACCATGATACAGGGGATAAAAAGGCAAATAAAACGATAAGTCAGAAGACAAGCAGTCAGAAGTAGCAAATTTCCGAAACCCCTAGCTCTGGAAAAAACACTCGATCCGGAAAAAAAGAAACGCCGTTCGAGACAGCTTGACGAAACGATCAGAAAATGTATATATATAAAATTGCTTGTCCTGACTCACTGACTGACTGACTTACTGATTCATCATCGCCCAGAGCAAACCGCTGGACCTAGAGTGGTGAAAATTGGTACACAGTTAGGGTACGTCATGAAAACGCACACCAAGAAGGGATTTTTCGAAATTCCCAAGTGGGGGGGAAAGGGAGAGCATTAAGGGTTAACCGGAAGAACGGCTTCTACTGTACTATTTTAGATGCGATTTTTTTGTTTTTATCTGTGTTTTAGTAGGGTACGCCATGGCAATGCACAATAAGAAGGGATTTTTAGAAATTCTCCCGCGGGGGGATGAGGGATAGCATTAAGACAACCAAAAGAACGGCTTCTACTGTACTATTTTAGATGCGATTTTTTGTTTTCAACTACGTTTAGTCTTCATTGAGTACTTAGGTGGGTATTAAATTGATAACATTTCAGACACTGTTATAAATATTTTTATCTATTTGATTTTAAAAATGTTCGAACCGTTTTAAATTCGAATTTGTTATTGCATATTGGTTCGATTATAGAACGATTGTAAACGTTCCAGAAAATTGATCAAATTGAAAATAGTTCGTTAGATTCTCGGCAATTCTCTTCAGCGGTA